CAGGGGTGGCGAGAGGTTTCACCAGAGACAGAGTGGGGAGCAGAACAGGCAGAAAGACAAAGTACACTGCTGAGGGGAGCAGCGGGCGGGTCAGGAGAAGTCTGCCGCGCCATGTGGTCACCTCCAGGGCAGGCAGGAATTGAACTCATGGGGAAGTGGCTTTAGCTTCTCAGTGTTGTGCTTTAACCCGCTGCACCACCAGGGAGGGCCCGATCTCACACTATTTTTAAGGAAGGTTCAATCACCGTTACTACAATCAGTTGTTCTTCATTAAATAAAAAAAGAAATTTACAAAGGCTATGATAAGCAGACTGAAAACCATTCTTGAGATGGCCATACACACTAAGACCCACAAACCATAATCAAAATCTCAGCAGGTGTTTCTGTAAAAATCAACATTACTGAAATTTATATGGAAATGCAAAGGACCTAGACTAGGTGGAACATTCCTGAAAAAAAAAAATCAAAATCAGAGGACTTACACAACCTGATTTCAAGAATGACTATAAAAATATGGTAACCACAACAGCATGGTGCTAGACTAAGGATGAGCAAGTAGAGGATGGACCAGCACAGGAGGCTGACTCCCACAGGTACCGTCAACATTACAAAGTCAAGGCAACTGAGGGTGGAAAAGAAAGCATTTTAACGAATGATACAAATGAATACCTGGATGGACAGAAATAAATATTAACTCTACCCTACATACACAAATGTTAACTTGAGTTGAGATCAGAGATTTTAATAAACCTAAGAACTAAAAGTATAAAGCTTCAAGGGGGAAAAAAAAACAACTCAGGAAAAATCTTCACAACGTGTTATAAGCAATTCATGGGACACAACCAAGAACTATTGAGAAATAATGTTTATAAACTGAAATTTATCAAAATTTTAAGTGTCTTTTTTTTAAGATTTATTTATTTGTGCATACAGAACTGGGGTACAGGCCAGAGGCGCAGGGGTGGCGAGAGGCTTCACCAGAGACAGAGCGGGGAGCAGAACAGGCAGATTGACGAAGGACACTGCTGAGGGGAGCCGCAGGTGGGTCAGGAGAGGTCTGCCACGCCATGTGGTCACCTCCGGGGCAGGCGGAAATCGAACTCATGCGGAAGTGGCTTTAGCTTCTCAGTGCTGTGCTTTAACCCACTGCGCCACCAGGGAGGGCCCGTGTCTGTTTTTTTAAAGGCACCATTACAACAATAATTAAAAGAACAGAGACTGTGAAACTGTATTCACAATATGTAGATCTGGTAGGACACACATCCAAAATTTAAAATGAACTATTACAAATCATAATAAAAAGAACAAAAGCATTTTTATACAGGCTAATGACTTTAACAGAGGCTTCCCACAAAAAGGTGAAACAATGGACAGAAAATACATGAGTGGTGGCTCAGAGGCATTACACAGCAGGGGTATGAGCGTACAACCTAAAAGGAGACACCATTTCACAGCCACTGGAAACACGAAACACTACCAAGGGTGCGGGACAAGAAGAACTTAAATATGTTGCTGAACTTGGATTTGAAGTGTAAAATGGAAACAATTCCACACTAGAACAGTTTGCAGTTTTAATTTTTGAGAAAGTTAAACCACTTGTGGTATTTATCCAAAAGAACTATCAGCCAATGCATACAAAAACACCTGGCAATAATGTTTGATGAAGCCTATTTGTAAGAACCCAAAAGTAAAATGTTCCACAGTAAAAAAGAGAAAGAAGAACGGAGCTCACAACATGGTGGAGGAATCTTTTTAAAGATTACAATTCCATTCACACAAAATATAAGAACAGCAAAGATGAATCTGTGGTAACAGAAGGGATAAAAGAAGCCTTTGCTTTCTTGGGGGCTGGGAGGGGAGTACTTTTAGGGATTCTGTCTGCTTTGTCCTAGGACAGTGGTATCAAGCTTAAAATTCATTAAACTGAATAACTGCTGTGTATGTTACTGTTAATCATAACAAAAAAATTAAAAAACATCAATAAACATTCAATATGACATTCAACATATCAACAATAGTAACATATTGTTACTATTATTAAAAATTGGAAGACAAATGCACCTATCACTAGCACTCCTTGTACATACAGTAAAATTGAAATGGAGATAAAAAAAACCTAAGAGGCGAATGTAGCTACACTTAAAAAGCCAAAATAATTAGCCACCAACTAGTAGGCCTAATAAAAAACTTTTGCCAGATTATAATTATTTTTAAATTAGCAATAACCAATTACCCTAAAGAATAACAACATTTTATAATAGCAAATAACACATGAATTAAAAGTTATTTTTTGTTTCTGGAGAATGCCTGATATAAAAATGTTAATCCTTCTTAAAATAAAATATATATCTAATATCCTTTCCAAAGAAAAGCAAATAGCGTCTGGGGAAGGATACAGTACAAGTAGTTTTCTAATTAGTGTATGAAAAAGATTAAGAAAGTTCAGAAAAAAAAGACTATGAAGTGTTCTATCATGTAGCAAAACTTGTCATAAAACATAGACTAGACAGTACAAACATACAAAGTGATAAACACAGCACTGATAACCCTCCAACAGATCACGTTTACAGGGAACTAAACAGAAAGTAAAGGCAACCTGATTAATCACACTGTAGTGGTAAGTTGGCTCCCCACTAGAACGAAAATAAAATTAGCCTTTCAGTTCATGCTCCACACCAAACAATCTGGAAGGACTGAAATATGACAACTAAAACAGAAAAACCTGAGAGTGTAACTGGAGTGCGAGGGATTCTTAAGACAGCAAACCTAAAAAGCAGAAAAGAAAATATGTCTGATTTGGCTGCGGAAGTAGAGTTGAAAGGGGGGAAAAGTTCGGTCACTGTATTAGGTTTCTCCTTAGCGATTCTGAGAGCCCACAAGGGACATACAATAAAATAATTCTCCCTCGAATTACCCAGCACTTCACCTCACCTCACCTCACAGGGTTTATTGGTCTGAAAAAAGATAAGAAAGATATAAGAACCCAAACTTCAGTGGGTT